GAGGATTCTATAGAATCTATATATTCTACTGAAGAATGGCCAGACAGAACATGGGCTTACTCTACAAGAAAGCAATCAAACAAATTTGCCACTACTATTCTGAAAAGAACAGTATTAAGTAATTTAAAATGCTCCCCTATCTTCAGGTCTCTAAACAATGCTATTTGTCAACACTTATTAAAAGAAAACACTGAAAATTCTGGCCTATTAGGAAATGTATACCAGTTTAATCATGTCAAAATAAATCTTCAGATACTGAGGAAAACACATACTGTACCAATGCAAATGTATGAACATAAATAGGACCACACATTATAGTATTCAGTTTGCATGTCTGAATTTGGAGAAAAACCTACAATTGCGCTTATATATATATCTCTCAATTGATAGATTTATATAGATAGAGACATATAGCAAGAGTCAAGGAGATAGGCTCCATTTGGAAAGAAATATGGCAGTTTTGAAATACTTCAAGGGAAAAAGAAAGCAGGAAACAGATAGTAAATTACAGTTAACTCTGCACAGAAATATCAGAATATCTATGAATATACCAAGTTCTTCATCTCGTGCTTTTTCAGCTGCTTCTTGAATTTTCCTATCCTTGACCTGGGTATCCAATGCATCTTTATCAACCTATTAAAATGAAAAAAAACAGTTCTTTAAGAGATACTATGTTTTAACTATTAAAAACAGGCATTGCCAAGCTACATTCATTCACAGTTGTAAGAGAATGATATAAAACCACTACCAGCAGAGTATATACACCTCACAATTTAATGCAGGCAACGTAAAAAGAAAATTCAGAAACAGCAATATTCTTGTTTGTTTGCTTCATTTTAATAATCATAGGTATATTCTTGCACCAAATCAGGACAAAACACCAAATTTACATGATATATAGAGCTATAAATATAAACATTTTAAGCTGCATTACACAGAATATGTTTTCCCCATTACAGCTGGCATTTTTACTTAGTTTTTCTTGGTTTTCTGCTTTCATTTATAAAGTGGGTAAGTATTTTGACAGTCAAGATGACTGCAAGTTGTAATAGTTCAGATCTGAAAAAAATACAGATGGTTCACTAAAAGTACATTGAAGAAATAATGGGGAATGGAAAGAAGTTTTCCAGTCTTATCTGATAGAGAGTGGGATTCATGTAGTTGCCAAAATGCAATATTGGGTGCCATTTGAGATACATGCAGACATCTACAATGAGCTGACAGATACAATACAGAATATTCACATCCCTGGAGAATGGTAGCTGAGCAAGGCATAATACTCTAAGGCATATCATCAAATGCTAGCAGCCACCTACATTTTAGGCAAAAGAATTGGGTCCCACATTTGTTGACAGAAGGTGGCAAATTAATAGGCAGAAACCTGGATTTCTTTTTTTTTTTTTTTTTTTTTTACTGGTCAAATCACTTAACATCTTTAAAAGATTTATCAAAAACCAATGACAATTCTTCAAGAATCTGGTAAACTATTTTGATAATCTTTGCCTAAAAACAGACCTAAACAGATCATGGCTGAAAATACACATTGTTAATGCTGTAAAGGACTACTGACTATACCAATCAGGTAAAGAGGTAAATCTGTAAGCAAGGGTGAAACCCTTGCTTATGAAACAGGGTATCACTGTCCAAAAACAATGGTGTCGCTGGCATTAAATATCAACTCATTTAGAGGTCTCATTTGGGAAACCAAGCTTTCAGTACAACTATAGGAAACACTGTTAAGAGAAATTCAATACGACTTCATCAGTATTTTCTGGCAATAATACAGGTAAGTCAATGTATTGACTCGTGTGTGCAAATTCCGTTATGCTATCAGCTCTCTCTCATTAGAACAGCTTTCACTTGACAAGAATACATCCCTAAAACAACCTTCCTAGTCACATAAAGCTACAGGTTTAACTTTTAAGCATTAAAATAACAAATCCCTTACTATGAACAGTTTGAAGCAGCTAATTTCTAATCTACTTGTATTTATGTACAATAGTTCATATATAAATGGGAAATAATTTTTCATTTGGACTACTCATCTGAACTCTTTTGGGAAATTACTGATTTACTGAGGATAAATTCTTAAATCTGTAAGTGAAGAGAGCAGTATCTTACTTTTCCATTACTCAGATGAGGAAACATACAGAAGTCAAAGTAATAATAAAACTAGTAATAATCAAGAAAAAAACCTAAAATCTCAGTTCCCATTCTACTTTCCAGTCAGTATATTACCTCCCTGTTTTTGAACTACTCAATCCCTGCTTAAGGATTTGTGGTGTCTAAGTCAAATACCACCTTGATTTTTTAATTTTGTCAGAGACAGCTGCTCAGCTAAACTGGTGAGAGAGAGAGAGAGAGAGGGAAAGCAAAGAATCTAAAACCACATCGGAAATACTGATATAGTTTATCTCTGTATAGATTTGTTGACTCTTCATGCTTTGGACTTGGCCCAGCTGAAAAGCACAACAATAGCCCCTTCTGTCAGCAGTCATTGTTCATCCAATGAATAAGGTACATTGAATGATGCTAACGAAAATATTTACAAAATTCCTCCAGTGGGCTCTCCTTCATTTTAGATGTTTGTCTCATGCAAGTGTATCGATCAAAACCTGATAAGTTAGTTCTGCAAAAGTATTTGGGAAAGACCTTCAGATGGTGTACTTCAGTATTGCTCAATAAAGTACACCAAGATATGCTATTTCATTAGCTGAGAATTTATGGTTTACATTTCATTTTAAAGGCTCTAGAAAAGTCATCTTACAGAGAAATTATGTGTTTCCTGATGAAGAAAGTTGAACTATCTTACTATACCAATCCCACATCTGTTAAAAAAAGGTTATTAGCTCCTTCCACTTAAGTATATTGTTGGCTACTGAATGTGTCAGGATGCTGTATCAGGTGGACAACCTGTCCTGTTCATCAAGTGGGAACTGCTACTTTGCTGTGCAACTACAATGACTCCTGCATAAGAGTGACAAGAATAAATCCAAGGCGCTGTCAGGGATAAGGTGAAGATATCCTTACACTGACTTGAGACACGTTTCCGTACCTGAGACAAGATGGATCAAACTGACATCTGTTGCAATTCTACCAGTCCAATGAAGTCAACAGATGGGACTTATTTTCATCAATTCTAAATTTGATTCTACGCTAGTTAATGCTCCAGCACTTACACGATATATGCATTAACACAGAGCACTCAAAATACTTTACAAGCAAAATGTAAACTTACTGCACCTCACAGCACTCTTCCCTCCACGCACACACACAGAACCTTAATGTGGGCCTTTGGACACGTTACAGGAAGATTAAATGAACTATTGCATCCAAAATTTAAATAGGTATAAAATACAACACAATTTTCTGACATTCAGTGTGCAAACTGCATAGGGGACTCTAGAGAAAAGCCGCCAGACTGAAGCTATCATCCCCACAAATCTTCACAGACTGAAGGGCGTTCACATTCTGACATCCACGCCAAGAAAAATCAGACACATCAGTTAATTCCATATACATAAAGATGGCCTGATGGATCTGTCTTATTTTGCCTGATGCAAAATAGGGACCAATCGCAGGATCCCTTTCATCAATAAATCTCTCACAGCACTGATTCTAGCTTCTAGTGAGAATCAAACAGATGAGGGACGTATCAGCACAGCAGATAGGTAAAAACCACTTTTTATGCCACTTTTGTGCGAGCTGACTTCCTGATGGATCTGTCTTATTTTGCCTGATGCAAAATAGGGACCAATCGCAGGATCCCTTTCATCAATAAATCTCTCACAGCACTGATTCTAGCTTCTAGTGAGAATCAGATGAGGGAAGTTATCAGCACAGCAGAGAGGTAAAAACCATTTTTTATGCCACTTTTGTGCAAGCTGACTTTGCAAGTTTCTGGCTCACCCTTAAGTAAAGCATACTACATTGTTAACTCCTACACAGATACTGAAACACGGGGCTTGATCTTTCAGTCCTGTCAAGGAAAAATGAAATCTTGCCCTTGAACCCCACAGCAGTGAGACGCAAGTCCCCCTCAGAATCTCTCACACACACACGCCTTCCGCGACAGCTGCCAAAAACAACTTGTTGACGATGCGTAAAGAGTATCAACTAGCTTTCACCATCAAGTTTTTAAAAGCGCCTCAGCCCTCTAAAAGACGCACCAGGGCGTTTTCTCCCCGCTTCCCCCACCTGGAACCACGCGCGCTCGCACTCTGGGGGCGCTGAGGGGGCCCGCGCTTCCCGCAGGGTTGGGCCGCTGCCTCCCGCCCTCCCCG